CTGGAATTGATCGGCATCAAGGAAGAGGAAACAGAAGAAACTTCTGACGATATATGCAGAAAGTTGTTCCTAAAAACAGTCAAGAAAATAGATGGACGCTACTCTGTGAGTTGGCCATGGAAGAAAGAAGAGCCAAAACTACCCTCAAATTATGGTCTATCTCTGGGAAGATTAAGATCAACGTTTGAATCGCTCAAAAAGAAGAATTATCTTCAACAATACGATACCATAATCAAACAACAATTAGATCATGGCATAATAGAGTATGCTTGTGAAGAAGGGCATAATGGTATCCTCCATTACTTACCGCATCAAGCAGTAGTAACACCAAATAAAGAAACTACAAAAATACGTGTAGTTTATGATGCTTCTGCAAAAACCGGTAGCGGTCAAAGCCTAAACGAAGCCCTATATCGTGGGCCGGACATGATCCAAGATATGATTGGAATTCTCCTAAGATGGAGACAAATGAAAATCGCGATAATAGCCGATATCGAAAAGGCTTATCATCAAATCGAGCTAAACGAACTCGATCGAGATTCAACAAGATTCCTGTGGCTCAAAGATTGTGCTAAAGGAGTTACCAATGACAATCTGGCAACTTTTCGCTTTAGAAGAGTACCGTTTGGAGTAATCTGCAGTCAATCTCTCCTCGCGATGGTACTACAAAAGCATCTGGAAGAGAAAGGTACACCATTTGCGTCAAAAATAAGAGAAAATTTATACGTCGACAATGTCATAATCAATGCAGATAGTGCTACCGAAGCAGAACTCAACTACCAAAAAATAAAGAAAATATTCGCCGAAGTTGGAATGAATATTCGTGAATTCCTTTCTAACAGTCAAGAAGTGAATAACAAATTTGCAACTGAAGATCTTCATAAAAGTACGAGAATAAAAGTCCTCGGACTCAACTGGCGATCGGATGTGGATGAAATAGAATTCAAATTTCCAGTGATTGAAGAACAACCCAGAACTAAAAGAAATTTACTTCAATTCGTCGCAAGACAATATGATCCCTTAGGCTTCATAGCACCAGCACTGCTACCCTGGAAAACCAAACAACAAGAGCTATGGAAGAAGAAATACGAATGGGATGATCCATTGAAAGAAGATGATATGCTTGAGATAGAAGAAATAAGTTCTAATTGGTTGGGAACGACAATCACAATCCCACGTCAAGTGACAAATCAACGAAAGACAATCGAAGTCCACGTGTTCACTGATGCTTCAATGAAGGCATATGCCGCATCAGTTTATTTGCGCAACGATAACGGAGAAAACATTGAAACTTATCTTCTGTATGCAAAAACTAAACTTGCTCCAGTCAAAGGTCTATCTATTCCACGATTGGAATTGCTTGGAGTACTTATTGGAACAAGAATCCTAAATTTCGTCAAGAAGCAAATGCAGCTGAATATTAACGATGTGATAATCTGGTCAGATTCCCAATGCGTTCTACAATGGATCGATTCGGGTAAATCGCAAGCAGATCGGTTTGTCGAAAATCGTCTTGTTGAAATTAGAAAATCGTCAGCAGATTTTCGTTATGTACCCACAAAAGAAAATCCAGCCGATTTGGCCACAAGAGGTATGACTCCACTGGAATTATCAAAGGCAAATCTTTGGTGGAATGGACCGGAATGGTTGAAATTACCAAAAGACCAATGGCCGCAATGGAAAATAGAAACAAAGCATCATGAAGATGACTCCATAATCAACAGCGATCAAACAATGCTGGATGAAGAAACTTCTGTTTGTCCAGTAATACGACAAGAACAATCCAATGTGCATAACCAACTATTGGATTCAAAAAGATTCAGTAAATGGTCGAAATTAGTCCGTGTAGCTGCATATGTGCGCAGAATGGCGGATATAATGAAAGGTGAACGTAATTTTCCGGAGAAACTCACACCGGAAGAAATAAAAAGGGCAGAAATGATGATAATTCGTCAAGCCCAAGAAGAAAAGATTGATGATGAGACAAAGAAAAAATGGTCCTTAATAATGGAAGATGACGTATGGAAATGTCAAGGAAGAATGCAAAACATGGAAGGTCCATTGCCAATCTATCTACCAGAAGGCAGTCGAATCACTCATCTATATATCAAACACACACATGAAATTAATGGACACAGTGGAATTAGTCACACTTTGGCTCAACTTTGGAAAACGGCATGGGTGCCAAAGGGTAGACGAACGGTCACAAGAATCATAAAGGACTGTTACGGATGCAAAAGATGGCAGGCTAAACCATTCAAGCTGCCAGAAATGCCACCTCACCCCGGAATTCGAGTACGTCGAAGCCAACCTTTCCAAAGCATTGGACTTGACTATCTCGGACCGATCCAAATCAAAAAAAGTGTGGAGCCAATCAAACGTTGGATAGCTCTATTTACTTGTCTAACGACAAGAGCTGTGCATCTGGAAGTAGTTCAAGATTTATCAGCGGAATCATTCATGCAAACTTTTCGCAGATATATTTCCAGAAGAGGAAAACCCGAAATTATACTGAGCGACAATGCCACTCAATTTAAATTGGCTTCAAAGTTATTTAACGACCTCAGTAATATGCAGACGATTCGATGGAAGTTCATAACAGAAAGAGCGCCCTGGCAAGGAGGCTTATATGAACGACTGGTTGGTCTAACAAAACAAACAATGCGAAAGGCTATTGGCCGGAGACTTTTGGACGAAGAAGAATTAAGAACATTAGTAGCTGATGCCGAAGGAATCATTAATTCCAGACCAATCACGCAAGTAGCTGATGACAGCAACGAAGTACTCAGACCAATAGACTTCTTAGTACCACAAGTACAAATGAATATTCTCAGCGATGAAGGAGATAACGATGAAGAATATTTTGTATCCAAATTGTCAACAAAAGATAATTTAAAGAAACGTTGGCATCAAACGAAAATGATAATCAACAAATTTTGGGAAATATGGAAAACAAATTATCTCGCAATACTCCGCAATCGAACACAAAAGGAGCATAAAGGTCCTAGAAGCTTCATAAGTAGACCTCCTCGACTACATGAAATAGTCCTGGTGGCAGAAGAAAATGTTCCCAGAGGGAACTGGCTTCTAGGACGAATAATAGAAATTCGGATGGGTGCCGGAAATGCCATCCGCACAGCCAGAGTCCAGATGCCAAATGGTAACATTTGGACAAGACCGCTTAATCATTTATGTCCATTAGAAGCGGATATCCAACTCTCGAACGAGACAGCAAATCACCCTCCAAACGCAGATCAAGACAACCCGATTTTACATCCTCAAAATGAACCAAACCTCGATGAGGAAGATGAAGAAATGCCCGAAAATTCCTCCCAACCAAAGCAGATTTCTAAAAAAACCCCTACTGCTGCTAATTTAGTAAATGCAGCAGTAATAAAACCAGTCGGAAAATTTTGGCCAATTTTCTTTCTGCTAATTGCAATGACACAATTGACAACCGCCAGCATGAAAATGGGATCTGATTGCGAATCATCGAATTATGGAGCATTCATGCGGTTCCCAAAAACAAGAAATTGCAGTACCATCGGTCAGCAGCATGACTTCGTGAAAAAGTTAATCGTAACAATTCATTCACGCATACCAATGAAACTTTCAGCCGGAGCATGTTCAAAAATAATAAGAACTGTTTGCACGAGAAGCTTTTTACGATGGTGGCTCGAGGTAACGATGGACGAAACAACAATAGAACCAATGAAACTGGAGGATTGTCTGGCAATGAATCAAAACAAACGTTTCAACGACGTGGCGTTACTAGCAGTTGGAGAAAACAAATGGGAATCACAAGTCCCAACGCACTATAGCTATGGTTTTTTTGGATCAACATGCTATCCCGTCATCAATTATCAGATCGAGAAGGGATTCATCCTTATTGGAGAAGACTCTCAACTATTCAGCGACTTTGGAGAACTTACAGGCTGTCCTATCAAATGGAACAATTGCACAACAGAAAGACGAACAATATGGTGGAATGTTAGTTCAATTCAAACGCAATGTCCATATGAAGAAATTGGAACTTACAGCGCTCTAAAAAAAGGCTCGCACTTTCTGATTAAAGAATTACAAGCATCGCTAATAATGGCATCCTCCGAAAGGAACGACACCAAAGCCTGTCAATTCTATAAACCAATATTCATGGAAAATGACATCGTTTTATCAGTTCTTGCAAAAAGAGATGTAGTGAGACCAAAAAGAAGCAAAAAAGATAATACCACTGAGATATTAAACCAAGAAAAAATATGGGAAGCCACCCAGCTAGAGAGTCCAGTTTCATTG